CTTTTAAGAGCTCCAACCTTATTCGCAAGTGCGGGGAGTTGCTTTGAGCGAGCACGAGGACTTCTTTGGCAAGTTGCACGTCCTTTATTTCATGCTTTCAAGTCCTTGAACTTTTCATTTCAATGACTTTTTCTTACGTACTTTTTGTTAATAAATTAACTTTTAAAATAAGGGGGTGCATATTTTAACATTATAGTTCGAACGCAATGAAAGTATTTGACATCAAATAGTAATTTAATTGTTAAACTACAGCTTGCGAAACTCAGAGTACAATGTTTTTTTTTTTTTTTCATTAAAAAAATTTCTTTCTAAATCATTATGAATGCACTGTCTTCTACATTGTTACACTGTAATTTTTAATATTTCATAGACTTTTCAATTGTAGCAGGATAAATTTTGTTTAAATTTCTTCATTTAAATAGCAATTAAAACTTACTAAGAAATGAAAAAATCTTATACAATGTTATATATAAAATTAAAAAATTAATTGCACTAAAGTTCTGTTTCGTTTGTCGGAAGCATATAGACAGGGAGCCATAGAATAAACTTCTTATTAATTTCTTGTATTCAATACTGCTCAAGTAATACAGCATATTTGCAATTTATAAAATAAAAAATATTTTTATAAAGAAATTTCAAGAAAGAATAAGCATACAAATTTTGCACCTTATGAATAATCACTAAAGAATAATTAGAAATCTTGTATTTTACATTTATTAATTAACTTTAAAACGTATAAAGTAGGGTATTTTATAACAGGTATAAATTTTTGAATATAAATTATAATATATTATACAACAATATAAAATTCAGAATTGTTTATTTATACATACATACGTACAAACCCACACACACACACACACACACACACACATATATATATATATATATATATATATGTGTGTGCGTGTGCGCGCGCGCGCGCGCGTGTGTGTATGTATATGCATGTATAAGAAATTAAATGCTATGTATACATCGTATTATTTAAAATTGTAATAGATTTATTCATTTTGCTACAATGCACTGATTGTTCTTAAGTGAGTATTTAGATAAAAAGAAAAAAATTAAAAAATGACAATAAAATGAAGTTAAGCTCGTTAATTTAAATATACCATCGAGCGCAAATAAAGAGGCCGGGCAGACACAAAAATTATAAAAGACAAACAAAAATATTATCAATGATAACAATACTATTATTAATATATTTATCTGATAACGCTATACTTTATAGTCTACGCGAGTACATGATATCAAAGTAGATAAAAAAAGACAGCAAAATTAAATGTACATAAAAATACTACGCAGTGAATAAATAATTAATCTACAAAGTGCACTTGCAAAAATAATTCTTTTTCAGTACAATGTTTTGTTTTTTTATTTTTATACATTCTCTTTGAAAATATATAATATTACTTCAAAGAAAATCATACAATTGCTTAAAATAATTTTTTTTTTTTAATAAAAATAACGTATTTATTCTTACATCTATTTACATAATAGAAATTTACTTGTTAATAATATTTTTTCAGTTGAAAGAAGAAATAAATTATCAAGTGCGAGAAAGCAATTTGTACGCCAGGCTAATTAAATATAGAATAGTAATCCTCTACTACTACTACTACTACTACTACTACTACTACTACTACTACTACTACTACTACTACTACTACTACTACTACTACTACTACTACTACTACTACTACTACTACTACTACTACTACTACTACTACTACTACTACTACTACTACTACTACTACTACTACTACTACTACTACTATTACTTCTACTACTTCTACTCTGCAAATAGATTGTTGATTTGAATAGTCATTTAGAAGATAAGATGCAAGAAATTGATAGATATAAAGATATATAAAAATAGAGAAATTGAAACAACGTGAGAGGAAGAGTAAGAGAGAGAGAGAGAGAGAGAGAGAGAGAGAGAGAGAGAGAGAGTAAAAAACCATTGGGGGACTCGCCATTATGGGAAGACTATGATTTGGTAGGAATAAAATCACGGGGCAGTGTAATAAAAGCGTGAATAAATAAAAAATAATAAAATGAACGAGTGTCAGTGTGTCAATATATAAATACGACATGCGGCAGTTTATTATTTTGAAGTACATCATTTTCCTTCCTCTGCCCTGATATGTTTAATATAACGGGTATATAAGCAAATAGCCATTTTATATTGAAGCCTTGTATATAGTAAATAAAGCATAGAAAATCTATCGGCAGTTCCCTAAGAATTTTAAAGGACATACTATTGCAAGCCTCAAATTATTTAATACTACAAATGTCGAAAATGATAATAAAAAGATTATACGATAAAAATAGTTACTTCAAGAATAAAGTAACGAATTGAATCGCGCGAAGATTATTTGGACTAATTGAAGTGAACTTCAACGTAATCGACAAAAAATAAAATTCGAAATTTTTTATTACTGAACAAATTAAAAAAAAATCGTTTATATTATTAAAGAAATACAAATTTTCTATCTATTTCGTTGTTTATATTTTGCTTAGATTTTAACGGTCAAAGTTCACTTTACAACGATATATGTTCATCTGAAAGAATCAGTAGGAATTTGAAGAATCTAACCTACATTAGAAATATTTTATATTTATAAATTTCTAGATTTGCATACATTATGTTGTATTATACGATATTCTAGAATAACAGTAAGCCGTCAAATTTTTAAAGATTTTTTAAGAAGTAAAATGATGATATTGCTGATAATAATATAAAATTCAGCTCAATTTTAAGTACTTTTATAAGCTACAGAAATAATAAATTGTATTTCATTAACGACTGAACGGCATTTTATCGAGACTTTTATTACACGCTAAATTATCTTTAATATGTGAAAACTTCTAATTGTTGCGCCGCGGAATGAAAATTATTTACAATGTGAAATTCCTTTATATAAATAAATTCAGATAATATGTGCCGAATTCTAATACATGTAATATAAATTTCAGTAATAGTACTAATAATAATAGAATTATTATTATTATTATTATTGTTGTTGTTGTTGTTGTTGTTGTTGTTGTTGTTATTATTATTATTATTATTATCATTGTTATTATTATTATCATTGTTATTGTTATTGTTTTTGTTTTTGTTGTTGTTGTTATTGATACTACGATTTATATTAAGTTTTTAGCAATTGGAAAAAGATTTTTTACCAGTTAATAAAACTAATGTTTTCTTGTTTGTAAATTTTTTTCTCAAATGCAAAATCCTTTAACTCGGTCACTTTAGAAAGATGCTCCAAAATTACATAATTACTAATATTAATTAACATCCTTTCGTTTGCTAGTAATCGCAATTTACTTAAATATAATACATCACTTCAGCGCTTTATTTATTGTAATAGTTTTAATCGAGATATTATAAATATATTCTCTAGGCGAAGTTTAACCGCACAAGCATCAACTACATTATATATAATAATATTATATTTTCATAGAATCCCATTTGAAAATATTTTATATTTCTGTAAAAATAAATTATCATACATGATTGTCAAAAAGAGGAAATCCATCGTCCTTCGACTATATAATAGTGTATGTATTTAATTTACACAAGTTTAATTTATCTAAGTGACCGAATCGTAAAGAGTTTTCGCCTCGCTACAATTGTCAAGGGTATCTCGATAGTTTATTTGTGAATAAAATTCATAATCTTAGACAGTTTTATTATCTAATAATTATGCACCGAATAAGGATATCCTGCAAATTCACGATGAGACATTGTAATAATTTTAAAATACGTTGATTCGAAGGAGGCTTTACAATAAACGATTTCGACCATGAAATTTGCTTGCTTTATAAATACGAATTTATGGAAATGTTTCTCATGTAATTGGCTAGGTATGCTTATTTGATAAGGAAAAATATTTATTTTATAAATTGTATCGATGAATGATTAATGTTAAGCCAATTTATAGTTTGTAAATTGTTTGTACACAGCTTTAGTTATTTGGCGCATTAGAATGAAATTGAAATGTATAAAATTGCATATTTCTTTTTTCACACTTTATCGACAAACAAATGCAAGCAAACTCCAATATTGTTCATCGAATTTGGAGTGTAATAGCTAGCAGGCACTTGGCAAATTGAGATAAAGAAAAATAATATATAAGCAAATATATAATTAGATATTGACAATCAGAGATATACAAAGTGGATGAGAAAGTAATGTATTAAAAACATTAAATAAATAAAAATGACTAAAAAGAGAGAATAAAGCAGAGAAGAAGAGTCGTTTCTGTGTTGAGAGAAAAGATTTTGTAGCAGCAGCAGCAGCAGCAGCAGCAGCAGCAGTAGATAGAGGAGCAGGGAGCGAGAGTGAGAGAGATAAAGAAAGTGAGAGTAAGAGACAGCATAATGTCGTAAGAAAAAACGTCATTAAGCGCCTTGTATTCCTCGTGAACGTGATCGAAGACAATAATACTCGTTCCAATAGAGTACTGACGTTCACATAGTGGGAGAATCGAGCACAATATCTCGCCAAGCTCCGTGCACGAAAAAAGCAACAACAACAAACAAACCAAAAAGAAAAAAGGAATAAAAAAAGTCGAAGTTGCGCCGTGCAGCGAAATAATTTTGAGCCGTAGCGCGACAAAGCTCATTGCTTTATATCCTAAAAACGTAATCGTATTTTGTACTCTCGGAGATAATTAAGCTGCATGGCGCATACAACTCGTTGCGCTCAATTATTGGCATCGATCGGAAGCGCTTCGTCGCATTAACGGAAAACCGTTTCGCCGTGCGCTAACTGTGTCCTCTCGCTCGACCAATCTGCAACGATCGGTCTCCATGAAAATTCACAGAAAAACTCATCCTACGCATACTCTCTTGTGATCTCTCTCTCTCTCTCTCTCTCTCTCTCTCTCTCTCTCTCTCTCTCTCTCTCTCTTTATCTCTCTCTCTCTCTCTCTCGTCACTCACCCCCATCCCCACCCCCATCACTCTTCCACTCTGTATTTTATGTGTGTGCGTGCGTGTGCGCGCGCGTATGTGCGTATGTTTGTGCGTCTGTGCGTAAGAGCGCGTGCGTTTCATTTGGATATCGTATAAAATCGATGGACAAAGTAGCGGGTGGCAGTTAAATTGCCATTGCCATCGCCATTGCTATCGAGGCTTACACTCCTATCTAATCATCCGTACTCTTGCCCCCCACCCCGTTTACGGGTTGGATCGACGGTTCGGTATTTCGACGCTTGATCTTATTTTTCTTCAACATGGTCGCCTGAAGTGAATAAATGAACACACAAGGAAGATTTCATTAGTAGAGACAAAAAACATGAACAGGAGGGTAAACAAGGTTGTGCATTTTGGTCGGGTTTCAACATCCCTTCACAAGCATACGTCTTTTTCCATTTTATTGATTTAGTATGAATAACAATTTGGGTATGAAACAGTAGATACTTCACATAATTGCAAGTATTATAAATGAGAAAGCATATTTCACGCGAAGGTAACATTTACGTGAAATATATTTGATCGCGTAATACTTTGAGTATAATAATTACAGATTTTATTGTTGAATTATTAAATAAGATATACGAATATAGTAAGAGTAGAAATATAATGTAAGGATAAACTTTGATTGGATTTTGTGATAATTAATTGAAAGAATTTTTAAATCAAGTACCTTTTCAATGATATCGATAGACATTTAAAACTACCAATAGTATTCTTTTATTATGTAAATGATCATTGTTATTAATTAATTGCTTTTTGATGCAATAACTTAGGTAAAAACTTAATATAAATATTTTGCATATAAAACGTAACGTAAAACAAGGATTATTTCCATGGCAGTTCCAAACATTATATAATCCAAAAATTATATATATACATATATAATTTAATGACCGATTGGTCACAAAATTTTAGCGCAATTCCAATTATTAACATATTTATTTATTTTACAAGCAGTATGCTTGCTTATGTTAAATTGACGAGGGATGAGGGGAGGGATGTTGGAAAGATTTAAGGAACAGAAGTTGTAGATAATGCGATAGGCGCATTACGACAATGGTAGACAAAAGAAAAATGAGAAGAAAACGAGAGATGTGTGGCAAAAAACATAAACGAAATGAGGAATGACGAATGGAAACAATAAATATAAGAATAAAAGAGGGAGACAGATAGATGTTCTACTAGGATTAACATATATAGATATATAGGATGCCTCTGACAAAAATTTTAACGTGCCACATTTAAATGAAAAAAAAAATATCTGATCACATCTCTCCCTTTTGATATAATCAATCTCATTAATACATTAATTTTTCATTGTTAACTTAACATTCATCTCTTTACGTATTTGTTATAAGTTTATTATCGTTTAAAAGACTATTAGATAAGTAATAGAAACTACATCAAATATGTATTGATTTTATCATTCGCGTCTTTTTTTTTCTTCTTTCTTTATTACATTTTTTTAATATTTCGTGCATTTAATAATTGATACGCGTTAGATGATAATTATTGGTAATTTGAAATAAAATTATCTTCTTTATTGATCTCTAAATACTGATGCGTTCGCTCGTTAATTTATTTTTCATTACTATGTATTGTCGAGAACCAACGTATCGAGAAATTATCTTCGTAGTCGTTTTTGATGTACGAGCGACGTCTTATTATGTGAGACGATAGAATCAAAAGTAAGCGACGTTACAGATATTTCGTAATTGCATTTACCTTCAATGCCGATCTCAGTACAACAACGTCCCCTGGACTTTGAAGCCACGGCTCACCATCCACTTGTACCGGAATGTCCGAGTGCAAGTGGATCTTTATATGACCGCCCTGGTGCATTAAAATTAACAACATTATATGATGAATTATTTCCTGTCCAACTCAAACGATAATATTTAAGAGTAAATATATTTATATATATATATATATATATATCAACAGAGCAAAACAAACCGACAAGAAAAGCAAATGATAATTCCAATGCAGATATTAGAAAAATCTTCAAGAATATGGTTCGCCTATGTAAATACTTTATTAACGTAATAATTGAAATAACATTTTGAGAATATGTGGTTGACCGCGGTGCAACTACTAATATCTATCAATACAAACAGAATACACAGTTTTAAGATTTTGAATAAAATATAAATTTAAAAACAAAAAAAAACAATAATAAAAAAAAAAAGAGGAAAAAAAAGAATCATTTAACCACAATCATTGACTTCATTTTTATAAAGTTCAAAAAACATTATTAGATACGTCGCGCTACGGTACGCGTCCAAATTATGATTAAAAAGAAATTGAAGCCTTCTCAAGAGACTCGTATATCTAAAATATTGGCTCGAGTACAACCGAAAACGATCGCTCAATGATAAAATGTGGGGATTCAAGAAATTGTTGTAAACCTGAGCTATCCGCATTCCATTACGAAAACCCGATTGTATTTGACCAAGATGAATGACACCGGTGACGCCTACGACCTCCAAAATTCCGTCCCAGTGATTTGGCTTGTTGAACTGATCCTCTTTCTCCGGACCCCATGGATTCGCTCCAGAACCCCAACTGCAATAGGAACGTAACGATGTTATGCCATTGAAATGTAGCGATCGTGATGGGCGCGAACTTCTAACTTTACGAAATCCGTTCGATGGTAGTAGTCTAAGTATTAACCATGAACCTTTTACTATTTACAAATGTTTGTGAGCCTCAAAATTCTAATTTTAATGAAATACCTTTTGTGTGCGTGCGTGCGCGTGTGTGTTTTTGTTATCGTCGAACCAATTAATGCGCGCCATTCGTGATACAAAGGATCGACACTACGCATACCTCAGTATGTTGAGAATGATGATGCCCTCGACCTGGGGTAGATCGACAACCTTTCCGTCGACCTCGAGCCTGATCTCTCTATGCAGATCCTTACAGGGCTTGCGGCCAACCATTTTGCGCAAACCCATTTTCACATAGACGCTCTTGTTGTGCAGCCGACTGTTAAACTTGTTGGGATTCTCCTCGCGTGCATTGTGAAAATCCAGGCAAAGGGCCGCGTCCAGTCCGATCCCAAAGTAGTTGTTCATCACGAATATCTGCGTATTGTCCTCGCTAGTCGATCCAGCGACTGCAGAGTCGTCGTGATGATGCATGAGACATACAAGTTGTCGTTTAGCATTGAAGATGGGAGGATTGCCAATTTTTGGCGGTCGAATCAATTATAAATCGACTAGGAATTACAGGGTACACGCATCATCGAAGCTAAATGTACCTAGGCTTTAGTGACTTACAACTTTTATTAAATTGGCTTAATGTTATGCTTGCGCGAACAAGCTGGATTTTTAATAATGATGCACGCGCGAGAATCGCAATATCAATCATTTCAAAGCCCTTTATTACTTATGTATTAGTAAATATTATTTATGACGAACAGATAAGATTATTCTATGATCTAATAGGATCAATCAATAAGATCACTAGTTCGATTATTGTCTATTTATTTATCTCAATCTCAAAAACTCAATTGGTTATAATTAAGCTTAGACCGATAAAGGAATGATAATGCCGCCGGCTAATTTTTACATTGAATTCATGATAACTAGAATAATCATCGCCCCCAGCCCAAATCCTCTATTTAATTAACTTACCAACATATAACCGTAATGATAAACGCGGCAAGTGAACTGGCGTTTTGTCAATAATAACAAAAAGAAAAACAGAAAAAACAAGAAAGAGAAAAAACAGAAAGAAATCAAGAATTAATAATAAAGGTCCTTCGTCCAATGAGCGTCAACTGACCCGCGTTGTTGGGTACGAGTGTCTGCGACTTGTCCTCCTTCTCCTCGGGGTGAAAGACGACAGTCCACCTGTCGAGCCTAATTTCCTCGGCATCGATGACATCCCTAAGGAGGTTCAAGGGATCCTCACCGCCGGTGTAGCCGGAGCCCCACCTGAGGACCCGGGCAAGATCGTTCCCCGTCCCGAGCGGCACGATGGCGCACGCCGGCGAAGAGCACTCGCTGTCCTGGCCGACGTTGTCCAAGCACTGTAGTACCCAGCCGACGGTTCCGTCCCCGCCGCACACCAAGATCTTGTAGTTCTTTATGTGCCGAAAGACGTAGAGCCTGGAAGCGAACGCGAAGCTGACTCTTAGAGGAAAACTCACTTGGCTCGATTATCGGCTCGATCATCGATCATTCAATCGACTATTATTTCGCACTCGCTATAAAAGAGTCTTGCGCAATAGCCTCTGCTGTCATTGTCGCGCAACTGCTCGAAAAATGAAGTAGTGTTTACTTGTACGCTGGTTTGATAATCCGCAAGTGGATGAAAACATGAATGTAAAAGCCAAGATTTATCGAAGATTAACGCTCGACGTCTATTAAACAAAGACACTACATGGATCGATATTCAATCGGTATTCTTTCATTTTCATCGCAAATTGAAAGTTACGATATGTTAATGCAGAGTCTTGATAAGCGATAATATGACGGACAACAAATTTTCGGGTAGTTAGTTGTCCTAATGCTATTTTTATTATTTTTCCGCGCGTACGTGGTGACTCAAATTATTATTAAAATTAACTCAAAGTGATCCGCCTTAGATTTTTGCACTTACTTCAATATCAGTTCATCATTCGCTAATCGCGCAATCCTCAAGTAATTCATAATTATTACACGCAGAATCTAAATGTATAGAGATAGAAATTTACCCGGGAAGGGGTCCACCGTTGTCCAAGTCGAAGACTTGATAAGGGTTGAGGAGTTTGCGAAAGTTAGATATCAAGTCAAGTCCTTGGCAGCCACCGGACTTTACATTTACAAAAACAAGCAACGGCTGAACACCGGCCGGCACCATACTTGGCTCGATACTGGGTAGAAGCATCACTAAAAAAAAAAAAAAAAAAAAAAAAAAAAAAAAAAAACTCATTAGACTGTGCATTATTGCAGCGATAAAGTCTAATTTATCATGTGGTTGGTCGAATTGATTGTCAATTGTTTCGTCGCTACATTGTTAATTGCAAGCCAATTTATTATTCACTTACTGCTTTAGCGACATAAAAATAGTTACATAATTTACAATTATTTACCTTTAAAGTTCCATTAACTCTGAGACTTTTGAGCATTTTATTTATACCGTTGACAAAGAGTCACGCTTTCAAAGAGAATGCATATAATATGTGTCGGAGTCTATTATGCACATTTAATGCTAATTAATGAAAAACAAGACAAAACAAAAGAAAAAAAAGCAAGTATTATCTTTAATCATAAGGGATCTTTTTTATTATAAATGAATTTATACATATACATATAATGATAATAATTACCTAGCAGATGCTTATCTTCGTATTTGGATTCACGTAAGGTGTAGAGGGCTCGTACCGCTGTGTTGGAATCTTCGTAAGTTATGACCATTGAACCGTATTCATAGTAAATCGGACCGATCGAAGAGAATCTGTTCTCTGTATAATTATAAAATCAATTAAATTACCAATTGCCCTGTTAGAACAATTAAATTATTTTTTATCCATCGTTTCCGAACAGAATAATCGATAAAATGCCATTATTTCTTTATCGACAGGCTGTACATCTGCAGCTAACGTAGGCAATTCACACCAATGCACAAAATCCGTGAAAATAAAACAGAAAAAAAAAAACAAACAAACAAACAAAAATACAAGACAGAATCCTCGTCATTAAAAAGTCGCGATGATGAATTGCAATGATGATTGTTATCGTTGCTCTATGTACCTTTTCCCAAAAACTCCATCAGCAAGTTTTCGTACATGCGCTCGGACAGACCTGGTGGCAGGTTACCGACGAATAGCGCCAGATTCGGCCCGTGCGGATCCTGTTTCAGCTGAAGGTAAAACCGCATCAACTCCATTTGTCTAATAGAATCTTTGCCTAATAATTTAACGATTTCCAGCGGTCTCTCGTCCCACGTTAGCACTCGTTCCGTCACTAGAATAATAACGAGTAGCGTTTTAAAATTATCAGATGCCACGAGTCTCCTGCTCAATTATTATTAACTGCTCGGTAGCTAATTAAGCTACGCGTGCGTATCGCACATGAATTATAAAAATTAGTGGCCCAATCCACCAATGGCTTATTAAATTATGCGCGAGTTTTCGATTTCCACGGTATTGACGAGACTCGTTTAAACGAGCAATTGCCTTTCCTAGCGCCAAAACATCACATACAAATTCATAAAACCACATTCGTGCCTGCTAGATAATTATGTAATACATTTTCGATATAAAGATAATTTACAATAATTTATAATCAATATATTTAAGATTAACGAGCAATGACTAGTCCGTACTCGCTCGATTTTGCGCAAATGAAATTATCGATTAAATATTAAAAATGTCTTATGCCTAATGTAATTTAGCATTATGTGAAATAATTTTGATTATACTGCGACGTAAGATATTAAAACGATGTGTGATTTTTTAGTTTTCACTGCGCTTCATCAACTTTCGATAAACAGAGAGTAAATTATTGTTTACTCGTTTATTTAAAACTTGAGTACCCAACTGCACCAACTATCTCTCGTATTGCTGCGAAAATAGAAGATTACCTCCCCGATCCAAAAGTATCTCGCTGCATCGATAATTTTCGCAATTGTCGTTCTCTAGCCGAAAGTGCACGATCGCTTCTTTAATGAGATCGGCGATCGTCGTTAATTCCGTGACCGGGACTGTACAAAAGGCATCCGACACCTGCAACTTGCCGGGATATACACGTACCTCGCCGTCCTCCACATCCCTGAAAAAATTCACATTAATTATTAGTTGTTAAACTAGATTGAATTACTCGACAATGTTGGTCGATGCGCTTGTTCGTTACGAGGTCATTATAAATAAATAAATAAATAAATATATAAATATATAAATAAATAAATAAATAAATAAATGATAAAATTATATAAAAATAAAAACAAAAACAAAAACAAAAAAATAGCATTGGATTTAACATTTTATATTGTTATTTCTGTTTCTTTATTGCATATAAGTTTTTCAACTTATATCAAGTTTATGGATGAAATTTTGTTAATCTTGTTCATTTATTCTCTGTAATGTCATTATTGGTGTTAGTCATAGTACAGGACTGCTCGAATATAAAATTGAATGCACGATTCCAATTAGATAAAAAATGATAATACTATATAACAAGTATTAATAAAGTATAGAGATTCACGAAGAATATAAGTTGTTTATATAAATAAAATTCTAGGGTATTCGGTATCAAAGGAAACAATACTTTTTAGTGTTAAAAGGAAATATCAATGTGAAAGTTGAATAGTATTTTTAATAGGCATCGTAATACTTCATTTTATTTCTCTCTTGAGTGAATTTACAATCCATTGGATAATTTGCATAAGCAAAAAATGTTTTTCCGAATTTTATAAATTTATTTTAGAAAATCATTAAAAAAAAAATAACTAGGTAAAGCATTGGTCGATATAACTGAAAAAAGGGACTTTTTCATAATGCGTAATTGAAATCCCATGTATGATGAAGTATTACGTCAGTTGTGTGTACTTGATAAAATTGATCGATGCATCCTTAAATCACCAAAATAAATGAACGTGTGCATTTTTTTCTTTTTTTTCTTTATTTATTTATTTATTTTTTTTACTTGCGACTGTGCACGATTGCAGCGTCTCAGTTTTATAATCTAAATATTTCACAAAGTAAATATATCGAAGTCTAAAATATTGAATAGAACGTACAAGTCCAATGCAGCATTGAATGTCAAAAGGAAATATGCATGGAAAATTTATGGCGCATCAATGTCGAATGGTTTAAGCAAAATTAATGAGTTATTATTTTACTTCAATTTAGATTAATGTAGATTATCATTTTGATCTTATAATTAAATATAACAAAAATTATTGGGCATATTTGCAAAAGTATATCTGTAAATAATCAGTAATTTTCTTCTCTTTTTTTTTCCTTCATTTAAATCCTAATTCGCTAATTCGCTTTAAATAACCAATGAATCATGTAAATATATGTAAATGTTTGTATTCACTCCTTTAACATGAACTAGAAAACTATTCGTGTATCTTAAAAGATAAATTTATCTATTGGAAAATCAGTAAAAATGCATTTTTCGAAGTAATTAATTTTTTCAGAATACTTTTACGGAATTGGCATTTATCAATGTAAATAAATGTTCAGTTGGAATTTCTTAAAAGATTTTTACAGATCTGAAATATTATGTAAAGTTCGCCTGACAATTCACGAACGAATTTTAATGGACACTCTCTACTTATAATAAGTATAAAACTCGAAAACTAAAATTATGTGAATATTTATAAAAGCGAGGACATTAGTTAGTCAAATATCGCACGTCTCATTGATAATTCGATCCAATTAATAAGAATATTAACATTAATAATATCATCATATAAAAAAAGAAATTAATGAAAGCATTTAGGATAATTAATTTGATTGAAAAGGGCTAATAATAGAGTACAATGTATATTATGAAATTTTGTTTAAAAATATTGGCTTCAATCGATCAAAAAATAATTTGAAATTGAACAATTTTTCATAAAAAAGGATCGATATTTAATTTTATCAAAAGATATTTATCAACATAAATATATTCCATACATTTTGCGCCTTGAATGATTTTGTTTGATGATTTTGTCGATTTGCATAAGAATTTTCAATGATTAATATATAGATTTCTTAATTTTCTAGTAATATATAATCTGCTTTGCATTCGTGTATATTTACAATACAAGGCATACGATAATTGTAATTAGCAAAACAATTGCATATTTTATGATTATACATTATTGCAATGTAAAGCAATTTGAGCGCATTCAAGTAGAAGTAACGTAAACGGATCTGTTTGTGTTTGATTACACTATACTTTTCTAATTCAAAGTTTCGAACATTATTGGAGTAGTTTTGTTGGGTCTAGCAAAGGACAGTAGACACACGGATTAATAAATAATTACTTACTTATATCGAAGAAAGACAGCCGGACGTTTGCCTTCTTTTCGAGTTAAATTGAGGATTGGCGAAGGATCGCACAAGGGCGTTTCTTCGGTTGTGTAAAGATCGGTCAAATAAAAATTGTCTGCAATGGAAAAATGGAAAAATCATTTTCTTGGAATACACGAGCTATTGTTTTTGTGAACAATTGGTTCGACGGTTGATCGATCGATACAATTATTCTTTACATTTCGAACGGAACGTTGTTTGCGATTAGAACGAGGATCGTGGGACTGAAATTATACTGGAAACAGGATATTACGAGACGCTTTAAGAAAATTCCGCAGACACCGGGTGAAAAAAACAAAATCAGTGGAGCAATTTATAATTACATATTAACGTGTACATTCAAATAAAACAACGATAATTCCTCATTATCTAATATTTTGTTAATTTCAAGGTATCATTTAGCCTCTGTATGAGTCGGTAGGCCCTGCATGTTTTAGTCATCCATACTCAACGATTAAAAGATAAGTGTTCCTCGTTAGTCATTCCGTTGAATAATTTCATAAGATGAAATCTCTGAAAAATCCCATCGAAGCCCTCGGAGCCAACGGCTGTCCGTTATCTCGAATTAATTGAAATTTAAAAATTAACGAGCGTATTTAGCGCGCCGTAGACGATCGAAGTTAAACAGCTCCTTTAGCTCCCCGCGATAATTCGAATCTCTTAAAAAGTCTCGCGGAAGCTGGAATAAATTGGATGCGGGTGGCAATGAAGCCTTCAGCAACGACGTGATTACTTGGATCTTTGGTGATGTGGAATGCTTGCATAGCCAGCGTCAGAATTTGTTCGGTCGTGGCCTGTCGTGGCACCATCACGACTCGGAATATTCGCCTTCTCAGTGAATTGTTTCCGTCGTATACTTTAATCATTTCTGAAAAATAAGCAGATGTTAAGTTAGAGTTTGTCAGGCTCTCTCTGTCATTTAATACTGGATTTACGCATTTGGATAACGGCATTCTGGCCTTTTACGTTGCCGCCACTAGTTGACCGTCGGTCCCTTAATCCTTTCGCAATCATTTCTTTCTTTTAAAAATTAAAAAAGACTCCCAAGCCATTTTTTCGAGCCACTTTTTAACTAATTAATCATTCTTAACGTGAACTAAAAGTCAACAATATATTTAGCGTAAAAATCACCGTAATACAGTGCATCCGAGTATCGAGCTTTTTCCTTAAAAATGGAGATTTATTTTAACAAATTTACCTGTTTCATTGCTTAGGGAAGACTTTATTGCCGACGTATCTTTCAAAGAACATTCTTCATTAAGAGAGAGAGAGAGAGAGAGAGAGAGAGAGAGAAAGAGAGAGAAAGAGAGAGAGAAAAAGAAAGAAGAAGAAAAAAATCAAAAGACATTAACTTCTTCTGGCTTGCTGCCCGTCCAACATCGATAATTCTATCATCGTTATTTTATATAATAAATACGGACGAATATAAGGAGATTCGATAAGTATTCAAAAGGAAGCTGGCCCGAAGGAGAAAAATTCGTCCCAACTAGAGGTGTAATTGACACGGTGTCGACATATCGATATTAATATCCCGTATAAGGAACGCGTTATCAAAGGTCGCGGATCGAAGCTTCGAAGCGAGGCTCACCTTCGTCGCCGCGCTCCTTCTCGTCCTTATCCTTCCCTGATCTGGGATCACGGACATGAGTGCCGCTACTCTGCTGTGCGACCGGCTCCTCGCTATCACGACAGCGGGTGTCGCCGCTGCTGAATTCCTCGGAGATGCTGCGCGCTGTAAAAACGAGGCACAGGATCGGCACGTAAGACAAAGCCCATCTAACCCCGCCCACCGACGAGTTTTCCCACTCCTTTTCATCTATATGGCCATTTTTGTTATCTCTAGTATGCATAAGCTGGACATTGCCGTTTGATAATATTACTCTCGTTCAATGCTTTGCTCGTTTGTCGTACTCGTAGTGTTTATTTCTCTGAGATAACATCGAGACTGGCGGTGCAACGTCGGCAGTCTCACCTCCTCCCCCCCCCCCATTCAATAACAGACTCTATTGATAATTTTATAATAATCCGTATCAACAGCTTATTAATTGTGAAATACAAGGGGCATACTGCCGAATATGACAATGAGATGAAGCGAGTCGAAGTTTTAATAAGTAGTTACAAAATAACTGCAAACTTTATTAGGGAATGCTTTCTATGTTGTAACTAAGAGCGATGACGCGAATATAAGAAATGGAAAGAGTAAAAAAAAAAAATAGTGCATAGAAAGTCGCAGAAGGCAATATGCTAGAGATAAAAATTGTATCAAACTTTTCCAATACTGTGAAATAAATTCTATTCATATATTCTCATAAAGTTACACGTATGTAGAGATATATGTATACAGATACCTTGCCGTAGTAATGTAAAGCATATTTTAAGGAAATATGTAACTAGATTTAAAAAATGACCATATATATATATATATCCTTTTGCACTAATGTTAATATTTTCGCATGCTTGATTTTTTTAAAGTAAATAATTGTCACTCGCATTCTCGTTTAGTATTTCAATTTTTTAGTAGTATCACATGCATGCTTGGGTCTCCTTGAAAATTAGTAAAATAAACAAATTCAATATGTTAAAATATACACAGTATGAAAATATTCTATTCAAGACAATGCAGGTTTACATATATCTATACGTAATATAAGAAAATCATTAATAAGTACACAGTACTGAATAGTACTGAAAGCGCTTTATTATTGGATGAAATTTAAAATAATTTCCCATAGTATTAAATAACAATAATCATTTATTTATATAAGAGTTTATTTACACATTGTTCCTAAACTAAGCTTATAAATACTTAAGATTTAGTACTTATATATGCTATGTACTTTTAATAGTACTATTATAGTAAATTAATTTAAAACAAAATATATGTTTTCCATAAAAAATAATATTTATTATATAATTTCACAGTAAATTAATATTAATATATAGAAAAGTTTTTATAAGCTTTTTTTTTTTTTTTTTTTTTTTTTTTTAAAAAAAAAAATTTAAGGATCTTTTGTACAACAGTATATTTTAAATTATAAATTTATATTCCAATATGCACTTCTTTTAATATATGATTGAAGGTTATCTGATAGTTCAGAACAATCAACAAATATTATGATTGTTTGTTTTTTATAAATCATAAGAACTATTATTAGTATCTGTTACATTTTAATATATATATATATATATATATATATATGTATGTATATATGTATTTATAAATAAAGAGTATTTCATGACATTTAACATAACATATGAAAACAGAGGTGATTCAACATTTACGTGCACAAATAAAATCAAATAAAATTATATAACAATTAAATTATGAATTTAATAATTACAGTACATCTTTCAAAGCATATTAAAGTATGTTTAATGGTGTTGTAACCAGTTTCATAGAAAATTGATGGCGAAAATTTGTCTAAAAATTATAATTAAGTATCTATCTTGCAGAGAATTTAAGCAAATAGCATATTAACATTACTATTCGATTAACAATAGCAATTTAATTGCCATAGACTATAGTATTAAGAAAATTAATGAATTGCAATCTTAAGTATATAATTCAACTATAAAAAGTCCTTAAGTGTAAAGTTTCACGTAAATAATTAAAGCTAAATATTCAGTTTTAAGGAAAAATAAATTAAAAACGTAACTTCATCTCGTTATACGCGTAATAATATCTTTTACGTTTCTCACAACCCATCAACATCATAATTATGCTGTATTTAAATTGTTTTGTTACTATTATATTTTTGCACGCTACCATTAAACTTACTGCGATTTTACGTCTCGTACACTAATATATTAATATTATTATTAGAGATTGGTTGAATCGGGGATGGATCTGGGGGTTGCATTTTGTCATTATTGTTGTAAATTAACACGAGATCACTCGCTGCAGAAAACGCTCACATCTCTACGGGTATCCGCAAAATTGGATTCTCCTTTGGGGGTACACTTTCACTTTGTCATCGTTTTAAAATCGTTAAATTTGTGGTTGCTAGTTGGTGGTAGTTAATCGTGGTGATGGTGGTGGTATTATTCGCACCTCTTACCCATGGCCATTCGTTATCTCGACGACTTATAATGAAGGAGATCGCGCAAAGCGAGCAGTGGTACTTTCCATAGCTGCCGACTGCGTCTGTTCGTGAGGGTAGAGTAATCACCAAACTTTCTTGTTTCCCTTTCACCCCCACCCCCACACCCCACCCCACCCCCCCCTCTCTCTGCGTCTCTCCCTCTCTCTCTCTCTCTCTCTCTCTCTCTCTCCGTCTCTCCCTCTCTCTCTCCCTCTCTCTCTCTCTCTCTCTCTCTCTCTGCGTCTCTCCCACTTTCTCTTTCTCTTGTTCTCTCTATCTGTATCTTTGCTTTTCTATCTCTTTCATTCTATTCTATTTGTTCGTTTACTCTTTACTTTTTATTTTATCGTGCATTTATATTACACATGTCCATGATCAACAGCGACTGATCGAATAGGCAAAGAAGATGAAGAAGAAGAAGAAGTAAGAGAAGAGATGGCTATGTGTGTGCGCGCACGCTTACGGCTCATGCATCGAAGCGGCACACATGATTTTGCATGCTAAAGTGAGAGTGCTAGAAACAAAAAGAAGAAAAGAAAACGTGAGTGTAAGAAGACGTAACTGAAAATAGCGGATGCGAATGTGGAGGAAGGGGGAGGAGGAGGGAGAGCAAGTAGGCCGAAGACTGAAACACAACTAAAGTATTGTGATCGGAAACAAATTCGATTTGGAAATAAAAATCTTGTGCTTGTAAAGAAATATGTATCAAGGTTGAACGAAAAATAACACGATCGGAGCTTGGAAAAAGGTCATGAATAAAAACAAAATTAAAATCGATACAATGTTAACCGACGTATTTTTCATTAATCTGTAAACCTTTTGATTTTAAAAAAAAAAATAAAAAAAAAAATGAAGAAATTACATTATACCAATAGTAATATACTTTTACATAAATTATCATTTACGCAAATAATTTTTTGTGATCATAAAAAGAAAGAATATACATTTTCATTATGTAGAATGTATTGTTGCAGTTAATAGAAAAATAAAATAACCATGATTTTTACCATAATTTTGTGTAATTGTAATTATTATAGTTATATAAGAAAATGTTTTATTTATACAATCATATTTCCAAGAATCATAATAATAAATTTTCTTCTCTTATTCTATGTAGTTTATAATTTAGATTATTTAACCTAATTAGCCGTTAGTGCACACTGACGTTTAACCGAACGGTAACACATATTATTTGTATCTTAACGCTATAGTATATTATTAAACTAATTAAACTTAAACTACTTATGTCATTTACTGCTCCAAGCATGAGTTTTAATAAAAAGTATATAAAAAAAAAAAAAAAAAAAAAAAAAAAAAAAAAAAAAAAAAAAAATAAAAAAAATAACTTGTAATTTATTCTTGTGAATAAATATTGAAAAAAAATGATCGAAAATAGAATATAAAAATTTTTATCCGGTAAATTAAACGTAATTAATTTTTTACGATATACATGTTTTTTATATGAGGTAATAAGAGAAAGAGGATTCAATATTCTTTCGATAATTTTCTCGTTATTAATTATCGCTGTATCTATAACTATAAAACACTCGTGTTAATACACAAATAAAGTGCATAATAGCTCTAAAAGCTGTTTACCAAACCTACGGAAGCATTAATTCATAAGGCAAAAATTAAATAAAAAATAATAAACACAAACGATAATTACTTCAGTTCCTCTCTCACATATAATTGCATCTATTCTATAGAAACAACGAGCCTCAAGCAATTGAAAATCAACATAACTGCCAAAATTCACGGCTCGCTTCCTAATAGGTAAAGGAAGGAACACTGCTACCAAAAACAAAAAATCCGTAAGCAAAAACACCTACGTGTATATATATATATATATATATATATATATATATATACATTGTGTATTTGTTGTGTGTAAATAGTCATGGCTTGTGAATAAATAATTAACGTGACAGGTACAGTGACTGATAAATATCATTTATATTTTGTCTTATGTTATATTTATATTTTATGGTTCTTTAGATCAGGTGATTTAATATCTTTAAAAGTCATTGGAAGAAAAGCAATGATATATCGGATTGAAAAGATCCAATTCAATAGCGTTATTATATTATAATATGCGAAGATAAAAATGAAAGATAAAATTAAACTTGACGAGAGAGAATTGTAAGGAAATTTCAATCAAAGTACCATACATTCGGTTCTCCATTTATTATAAAATTCGCATAAATAATAATTTTTTTTTATAAAGCTGCTGTTTTCGTTATTGCGTAATCATTTAATATGCATATTTACATTCGCAATAAAATACACCTTTAAGAACTCCATGAACAAGCCAGGTATATGTCCGTGAAATTAATTGAAAATATATTATAAACTTGACCTTAAAAGATCTTGGCTACGGAACAAGAGAGAATTTTTATTGCCATTAAGTTGTAAGCAAATTGAAAGCGAGCACGCGCGATACGTATTCCTTTATCGAGCTCCCCTTGTCCAAGTCGCTTATCTTTAAAGTATCCGTGCACGTGCATACGTATCTATATAATAAATACATAAAAAGACATTTGCGCCATTAAATGTCCGCTCATAGTTAGTTGGTAAACGTGAATTTCGTCAATTTCGCGGTAATGACGCCAGCGAGTGCGCGTGTGCTGTGTGCTGTGGGCTGTGTACTGTGTACTGTATGTTGTGTGCCGTGTGCCGTGTGCTGTGTGCTATGTGCTGTGTATACCTTGAACGTAGGGAGGGGAAACGTGACAATTTCCATGGCAGCTACGTGGAAAAACTAGTGAAATCCGCCGCAATGCCGCGGCCAGCCGACGGCCCGTCGCCGGCACGAACGTCCCAACACGTTCGCCCTCAGCAATATCGAATACCACCTCGTCGCTGTTCCCCGCTAAATACGATGGGACGCCGACAGAAAAGAGAAACAGAGCAAATGTTCATTCAGTCCTTGGCTCGCGGGCGTCATCCCCATTTTAGCGCTAATTGGCGCCGACCCCAATAACCCCCACGGCCGCTCGCCCCCTATCATGGCAATTTGTGCATTAGCGCGACGGCGTGGCTGGACGGTTGGGATATTGGTCGCCGGGAAAATTCACCTCTCGATGATGAAGCCACGGCTTTATAAATATGGAGCTTGTGCACACCGAGCCGCTTGCCTTATCGTAGCGAAAATATGTCTGGGACGTCGTCGCTCTCATCGTGGTCTACGTGACGTTTATCACGCGACTTGTGCGCTTTACGACGGGGATGAATAATATTTTCCTCACACTCCAAGTGGATAAATCGTGCAGAAGATAATTTTACATAAGACAATGATGTTGGATTATTTTGTCAATGACACTCGTCGATTCCTTGTTTAACATACCATACCTTTTTATCTTAGCCCGTTCTATCGTTTAGACATGATTAAATGATAATATTAATTAAGGACAATGCGGGAAGCGACATTTTTTACGAGTACACTTTTTATGACAAGTCGCTAGATAAATTCGTTAGACGAGGGGTAGTGTCAAAGAAAAAATTTTTGCGATCTACGTATAGATGCATCGGTGTTTTGGTCATCGTAAACAAAAAAAAAAAAAAAAAAAAAAAAAAAAAAAAAACAACAACAACAACAAAAAACAAAACAAAAAAGAATACACACGCACGCACGCACGCACGCACGCACACACAAAAGTTCGAAGTAACGGTAGCTTTATATCTTCTCATTACTTCCAATCATTTTTTTACTACGGTCTTTCTAATGCACAAAATTTTTCTCTAACCATATTGAGAAAAATTTTCCAAAAATTCCTAAACTCTAAAAGTAACGCCCATAATATTTTTATACAGCCAGCATTGAATTTCTCATCTGTTTTATCATTCATTCGACTTTCGATAATGGCTTAATCGAATTATAAAGAATAATTAAATCTACATTCCATTGGCCTAAGTTTAGTCTTCATATATTTAAAAAAATCAAGTTTTCTTGACATTTATAGCATTAGCTTGGGATAAGTAGCATATGCGGTGTGAGCTGAATTAAAATTTCGAATAAAGAAATGCACGTAGTGAGTTGTGATTGGGAGAATGCAGTGTAAGAAGTAAAGTAAATGGAATTATATAGAAAGTAAGGGCCACCGGTGAAGCGAATTTTCACCTACATATTTGGCCAATTAAACGAGACCTATCGATTCTCAATGCAGTATTTTTCAAGAAGCTACGGTTTACTTAGTTAGCTCTCATCAAAATTTCATACTCGCGTTGCCTTCCCATCAGGCTAATAAAAAAATTTACGCTCACGTGCGTGTGATAAAAGTACGAAGTAACGACACTTGAGCGCGAGATCGAGCGAACGCCCTGGAAAATCGAAATAGAATAAGAAAGAAAAGGGGAGGCAGGAAGAATAGAACGAATAATGAAAAAAGAAAGAATGAAAGAAAAATTACATTATACAGGTATAAAGAGACACGTATCGTATGTACACGTACGAAGAATGAAGGAAAAAATATGAACAAAAAATAAAGAGCTGCGACAACAACGTGACCCAGTTCGCAAGAATATTTCTATATCTTTAATCGAGCTGTGTGTATAACTTACAATATGTACAACACAGAGATAAGACAGGAATTATGCGAGAGTTCGGGCACACGTACATGGCACGGATAGACGGAACTTTGCAAAGTTCCGAACTACATAGCTACTCGTGGCACTCAGCGAGGCATATGGACACATAATGGTTTTATAAATATTTACAGCGAATGCGATGTGAGGAGGTAAAAAAAAAAAAACCATAATTTATGCGTGCATGTTTACGCGTGCATGTAGGGTTTAATAGTAATAATTCAATGGTAAATGCGTATGTTGAGCCTTGCATCACTCGATGCGTCTGTACACTATCGAATGATTTGTTCAAGATTTAATGGACATGATATCTTCACTTTTGTCTCTTACAATACGGCTTTCTTTTTCTATAGTTAAAGGAAGACTCACTTTCATACACTAATTCTCTATCCATCTCCCTCCCACCCAACCTCACTACCACACCTAATGCTTTAGATTAATTTACGATTATGCCGTATGGGCTTTGAAAAGTCTACACTTACGGAACTATATAAATGCATGTTTGAGAATAATTATTATTAGCTTTTTTCATGGAAAGCTTTATAATTAACAATCGACGTTCATTTGTAGAGACAATGTTTCATGCGACCCAATTCTTTCCATAAACGTATTAAAATTTTGTTAGTAATACGCGTATATTCAATTAAAAATATCTGCATTTATCTTTCTTTGTCTTTCTTTATAATAATAATTTGTTTTTTTTTTTTTTTTTTTTTTTTTTTTATATATAAGGTTTAGTAATTAAAAGATAAACCATCTTATTCTAAATGAAGAAACTAGAATAAACTCGTTAAAAACCAAAAAAAAAAAAAAATTATTAAATGGTTAGTGATTTCGCATTATTTCGTATCTTCGATTTTAACGAATTGAATATTATAAATTATAAAATTACTGTCAGTTAAATTATTATGATTATTAATGAAAAATTGAAAACGACGTAGCTCACAAACGTTCGGCTAAGGGTTATTGGATTTTACTTTACGATTACGATATAAGGCACTACTGACGCAAAAAAGAAAATTGAAAATAAAATTTATGTAGTTGAGGTCTGATTCTATTAAAGTTAAAAAAGAAAAAAAAATTAATAATTGAAATATTTTATTACAAATATCTAAGACTATTATTATCTCGTATAGAAACGCTTATAAGCGTACAATCACTTTCCTTTAAGTGGAGTTTTTAAGTATAAATTTTCAAATACAACCATATAATACAAACCTTACTTACTGATACTCTGATTCAAATATTAAGAATTTGGCATTACTTATATATAATGAAAATGATAATTAAGAGCTAAACTGAATTTACGTATTTTAAATTTACTTCTAAGTAGCTTGTTACTTATGGAAAAAATAATTTCTGCTCATAGTTAACAGATGCAACACGGAAGCCATCTATTACTATCAAAGTATCTTATCTCACCTTCTAAAAGAAGAGAATCTTGTATAACAAGCGCAGAGGCATTTGCGCAACATAAACTTTTGTATTACGACTATCGTAAAAGTACCGTAAAGTACGCGTATTTACAGAAACGGAACATTCCCCCCTATTGAATGAACGTTGTATTAACATTGCTTATGCACTAGGCCCACTATTATAGCCAATTTCATGTAAAATTTCTTTGCCTGTATTATTTGTCGAGACCCTTTACTGTACAGTAGTAAGAAAAGAAACAAAAATTTAAACAACAAACTTACTGACAATCTTTATTTACTTATACGCATACAACTTCTGCTTTCAGGTTATAATTCGGATAAACTTTACCTTTTCCCTTTAATCAAGTGACAGGCTCTTTACATTTACATATAAAGGGCATACTGCTTTCTAAAATACGTAATGGCGACTATCAATAATAATTAATAATTAATAATTAATAATAATGATAATTTGAATGAAATAAAAGAGAAACAAAAAAACAAACAAACAAATAAACAAAAAAAAAAAAACAAAAAAAAACAAAACAGAAGCAATACCCTTCTAATAGTTGTCATTCGTAAATGCAGGGGACCGTCGAAGAAGCAATGCTTGACCATTAAATCGTAAAAGAAGAAGTAACAGCGCAACAACAGTAAAGTGCAGAAA